AAACAACTACTCTTAATAGTAGCTAACAACTATTCTGACTCTGAAAGGCTCTTCTGGCTCTAGTAAAATCTCCAATCCTACAGTCTTCCCTTCTAGTCTAATGCTAATGACAAAGTTAAACCTACCGTCCTTTTACTAAATTAAGTTAAACCTATCCTACCCCTTAATCTATCGTACTCAATTCACCCTAGTTAATGTCATTTTGACCTCCTAATCTATTTCCTAACTTAAGCCAATTAATCGCAGATCCATTGGTCAGTCCCAGTTGGGTTAATCAAATTCGACTAATAAGCACTATAGGTTCCAGAAATCCTAACTAGGGGTTTCGACTGCTGATAAATTCACTCAATACAGTACGACACGCAATTAGAAATGAGCTGAGTGAAAAAGTTTCAAAAACTAGTCTTAATTCACAAATTCGTCAATTCCAAACCTAACTGGAGGTCTTTTTACACGAATTGGTTACCTATATCTGTAGTTTCACTTTCCATCACAGATTCATTCACCACCGGCTCACTTGGAGGTCTTCTTTCGCTAGAGAGATTCGCGGGCTCTTCTTCCCTTCTGGCTTCAATCTCAGTTGCGTCGTATGTCTCCACTGCATCGTTCTTCTTTCGCGAGCCTTCGATTCTGCCACGAGTGGTTACTTGTGGTTCCGCTGTTCTTTGATTTTGAAGAGGAACTCTTCTCGTGAGATCCGACCTTGGGCCTGGGTCATGATTGAATCCCTCTCTGTTGTTTGCCCAAAACACCTTGTCTTCGACGTGCATCTCCGGATCATCAAAGAAGTTCGCCGACCAATACTGTGTTGGTCGCTTCCTTGTAATGGCTTCCTCTGGATGCACTGTCTCCTACACATAATGTTTCAATATGTCAAAATGTAGAAAGTTCACCTGATTCGAATTGGACACCTTTGACACCTTGTAACTGACTTCGGACATCCTGGCCGTCACAACAAATGGTCTCTTCCTCGGGTCGAAAGGCTTCTGTGTCTTTTTTGGTTCTCTTGACCACACCCAGACTTTTTCACTACTCGCATAGGGTTCCCCGTGAATTTTCTTCCAGTAATAGCTTTTTTTTATCGACGCTGGTCTGTCCCGAGTTTTTCTCTAACGCTGCTATGTGTGTCTCAGAACTGTTTGTCCAGCCAATCGCCAAAACCATCCTTCATCATCACTTCGTTATGAAGTTTTGCGTAGAACAGGTCAACCGTATACTGGCACTCCTGTTTATGCACCATACTGAACTGTGTAGCTCCCGTTATCCGATTGATCGTCGTGTTGTACACAAAAGTCAAGTACGGCAAAGTTGTATCCCACGTCCTCGGGTTCTCCGCACAATATTTTAAAACCACTTTGGCCATCTTCGTCTTTTGCCTTCCCGTGCTCCCATTCGCTTGCAATTTGTACGGGCAAGTCTGGGTTTTATCAAAACCCAGGAGTCGGCACATCTCGTGGATCAATTTGCCTCCAAAACCCTTCTTTGATATGTATGCAGAACATTGGGAGCTCCAATTTTAAGTACCTAATTCTACACTATCTCACGAGCCACGTCAGCAGAAGACGTCAACGCAAGGGGAACTGCAGTTGTGTACATTCTGAATAGATCCGTCGTTACAAGAACATTACAAGAGCTCTGGTGCTCGTCGCCATTGTCATTGGTCCCAAGATACCTACTGCCAGCGCGCTGAATCTGATCCCGCTTCGTTTTCATTTTTGTCTTCTGGACTGCTCGACTTAGATAAATCTGGAATTTTTTTTTCAATGTCCGCTCTCATCGTCGGCCATCAATATCTTCGTCGCTAACTTGCCAGCATCTTCTCGGCTGCAAGTTGTCCTCCGCCAAACTCCATCAAATCGAACTGGCTACGAATTTCCTTCTGCCCCGCCACAGGAACAATTGTAAGAAGGGTAGTCATGGAGCCCTCTCGCTGAAACCAGCCCCTTGTAGAGTATTTCATCTTTAATACTTAACTCATCCCATCATGACCAGTAGACCAATGTACCAGGACCATCCTGCATGGCCTAATCCTTCGGGATGATGTTTGTTCCTAGTGACAGCATATCAGTCGTCTCATCGCCTAGTCCCCGCCCAGTAGAACACTTGAGCGATCGCTTCATCTTCTTTCTGCATCTTCGCAACTCCGCCTGGCGCTCGTTTCCATCGAATCAACTCGCTGTCGTCGTCTTCATTCGTCGCTGTCTCTTTCACAATTGCAACTATTTGAGGTACACTCATAGGTCTGCACTTTCGCATTGCCTCTTCTAACGGGATTGATTTGGGACAACCCCCTAATTCGTCATCGTCCTTGTTTTCGCACCTCGCTCCCAGAGAGTGACCGTAGTAACTAGCTGGCCATCCCTCATCGGTACCTCATTGGATTGCTCGACTGCAGCTGCTATCATTGCTATCAGCTGCTTCCTTTTGACTTTACTCGAATCACTTTCTCCTACCTTCTTCCCTCCTGGATCATGGGGGGTTGAGAGAATCCACTTTGGGGATACATTGGGTGGCAGATAACGTATGGTAACCATGGAACCCTCTTTCGTTCCCGTCCACAGGAAATCTTCATCGTGGCTGAACGTCAATATGCATTGATTTTCATTCAGCGATCGAAGTCCGATAACCATCTCTGCTTTCAGTTTTGGAACAACTAGCATATCAAGATCTTTGTCACTCGCCCCTAATTTCAGACGGGTGGAGATCTCGAGCTACATCTGACCAAACGAAGTCAGAAGTAGCCCCCATAACTAGCAAGGCCTCGACTCTGGTTCTCCCTACACAAGAATCAACGACTGGCCCACGGGTTCCGTAGATATCGTGACTACTTTTCACTCACTCGACACGTGACTGAGAATGCTCCCTCGTTTCCCGCCTGGGAGAGAACTCTGTGCCCCGAGGTATTCGTTCCAAATTCGACAAAACATGTTTTTGTTCCCACGGCGTGTTGCTGTCTACATCTGCATCTCGTTTCGGCCACTCGCTGAGGCTTATTCTATAAGAACCGTGTGTCGGCTCGTCTCTCTTGGGTGCCTGTCTCGGAAACTCCTTTACAAAGTCACCCATCCGACTTTATACGAAACAACCATAGTTCGCGTTGCTCTGTCGATTCCCAGTCGGCTTCGGACCAGTCGGCCTCTGTGTTGGGTCTTGCCCCGGCAGATGTTCAGGGTGTGGAGGGGGATTTACTGAATTAACCAACCTGCCAATCATTGTCATCATCCCTTGCGTCTGCGAAGCCACCTGATCCAGCCTTTGATCGGTGGTCGTCCGCATGCCTGTCATCAACTCGTCATGTCTCGCATTTGCGTCGCTAAGTGGTCCAGTCTCTGATCAGTACTCGTCTGCAGTCCTGTCAGTTCGGCCTGTATCTGGTGCACGTCTCCGACCTCTACATCGTCTCTAACCGTTCCAGACATCAAGTTTGGTACACTTCGCAACTCCTGAACATAGTTTGGTCGCCTCCTGATCCTCGCCCCGGCAGTTTTGTTAGCCAGCTTCAGAAACTGCACTCGAGCCACTGCCTCTGTCAAACTTTCAAACTCCTCACGTAGAAGTAGAGTAGCTCCTGCAGTTCCGCATCAAATATACCATCTATGAACTGTTC